ACAACAACATACACACACAGGTATTTCCTTGCCCTTTTCACCCTTCCCATAACACCTGTAAACAAACTTTTTAATTTATTTTCAGAAAACGGTTTAAACATTCTAATGTATCGGGTAGAAGTCAAATCTGTACATATGTTTTTGAAGAATCCATATTTCCAGAATCCCTACTTCACTCATTTACTGTACTTGGATGTAGTCTAAAGATGAATAAAGGTAGCAATAAAGCATTTTTACCAAACACTTGAAAACTAGAAATTTTAGCCCCTTAGTAATAGATAACAAAGTAAGGAAGTAGAGCTAATGTAAAATGCAACTCTTGTTTGGTATGAAATTGTATACTGTGTAAAAGTTACTCAATACATAGGGAATAATTTATTTGTAAGTAATTTTATTTTTTTAATTTTTCAAATAAAGGTATAGGTAATAAAAAGGCTATTGTTAGAATCTTTCTGAAGGGCTTTTCTGTGTCATTACTTACTATGTTAATCTGAACTAGGTACATTTTCTCTTAAAAATGAGATTTTAACTCTCTTTTTTTTCCTACTGAAAATGGTTATTTTACTGTATAAAAATTTATTTCTATCTGTAACAAGTATTGTAATTCAGCTTCAAGGTCAGACCCCCATTGAGGTTTTTTGTCCAATTTCCAGTGACATTTTGAACAAATAAATTTATGGCCCCTCATTCTGCTTCTGAAGAGTAGAATGTAATTTTACATACTGCACAAGTTTTCTTGAGTTGTCTTTTGCTAGGTATGAAAGGAGTGGAGTACTTATTTGTCAGCAGTAAATTCAAATCAAATCTGAAGATCATTTGCTTGTGCAATTCTGTTACCTCAGGAGTGAACATTTATGAAATATTTAAAAGTTCCTGTCTACATTTTTGTAAGAGTTTTGTTGTTTTTGAGAAAAATTTGTCATACATTTCTTTTCGTTCATTTGCTTACTCTTTCTACAGGGTGTTGCAAAATGTCAAGTGAAATGGATGAAGTATAAGGTACAATTTAAGGAAGTCGTTTAAACTGGCACTTCGTGCCACTCCAGCAAGGGGGAAATCCATGGTGTAGGGGATGAGGGATGTTATGAGGGTAACCTTTCAATAAGTAGGGATGGCAAGCAATATGCGTAACTTAGTACATACGTACTAAAAGCAAAGTGTAGGCGGTTTCACTGGCGAGGCTGCCGTGCGTGCGCACAAGCAGCAAGTTGAGTATGATTCAGGTATTTGTAATGACCTATCTTTGGGTCATAAAACCCTCCATCCCAGTCAAATCACCATGAAAATCACATATTGGTAAATTTTATTCATTTCTATCAGAGAGCGGAGTGTAATATGAGGGAGGGCTTAAAGAGTCTCCTCCTCCCCTTCCCCTTCTCCCCCCTCCCTCGCCACGCTTCTCTTAAGGGTTTAACCGAGGAAAGCTGTCTGTTGATTTCATTTCTGTAGTTCTTTGGTATTTTTGTTGCCTTCATGGAACAACATGATTCTTTTCCAAAAAAATTAATCAGTATCTTCTATAATTAGACCGGATTTATTGGTGACCACAAAAATTGGTTCTATTTTGTGAAACTGTTATTCAGCAAAAATGTATTCACAAAAATGTTATTCAACCAGAATCGATTTAGACATACAAAAATTTCGGTTTATGGAGGTTTCCGTTTTATGCAATGTTGTCCATTGTATGGCCGTTTTTGCTCTGAAAGTAGTAAATTACACGACTTTATTATAATTATCAAAATACTTTAACATGTATGTACAGAAGAAATCATCAATAAATTAATATTTAAATACTCATTGGCAGCTTCTGAGTTGAAAAATACACACCTCTGGTCAAGGTAAACACAAGTGTAAACGCGGTGCAGGGGGATGCGTGAATAGAAGCCATGCCCATACACTGTTCCACGCTCAGAGAGTCGGGCGAGAGGGCATTCCCCTATGGCCTATGCCTTGAGAGACAGGCGACCCCAAGGTCAAATTTTACGCTGGCTGCTGAAGCCACTATCTTTCAATGTCCAGCTGCCATGACTAAATCACATGCCACAGGGATAGAGAATTTAAAAGAAGCTTGCAGGTTCATTCATTTCATTAAGAACTGCTCATGTCTCTGCCAATTGCATGAAATTTACAGGAATTATGTTTTATAAAGTGTTGTTCATTTTTCTTTTTTTTTTCTTTTCTTTTCTTTTTTTATTTATTTTTTTTTTTTTTTCTTGCGGGACATGAAAAACCTTTCTGTTTCCATGTTGGAGAGGTACCGTTTTATGCTATGTACAATGCCATTTATCTTCACGGCTGGAGAAATTTTCTCGTTAAGGCAGATTTCCGGCTTGTGCGAGTTCCAGTTTAGACAGATTATACAGTATTATTATTTAAATTTTTTTTATTATTATTATTTTATTACAGTATTTTTCCCGTTCTTTCTGTTCTTTCTTTCTTTCTTTCTTTCTTCTCTTTCCTTTCTTTGCTTTCTTTCTTTCTTTCTTTTCTTTCTTTCTGTCTTTCTTTCTTTCTTTCTTTCTTTCTTTTTTCTTTCTTTCTTTCTTCTTCTTTCTTTCTTTCTTCTTTCTTTCTTCTTTCTTTCTTTCTTACTCTTCTTCTTTCTTCTATTCTTTCTTCCTTTCTCTTCTTTCTTTTCCGTTTCTTTCGTTCTTTCTTTCTTTCTTTCGTCTTTCTTTCTTTCTTTCTTTCTTGCTCTTTCTTTCTTTCTTTCTTCTTTCTTTATCTTTCTTTCTTTCTTTCTTTCTTTCTTTCTTTCTTCTTTCCTTCTTTCTTTCTTTCTTTCTTTCTTCTTTTCTTCTTTGCCCTTTCTTTCTTTCTTATCTTTCTTCTTTCTTTTTTCTTTCTTCTTTCTTTCTTCTTTCTTTCTTTCTCTTTCTATTTCTTTCTTTCTTTCTTTCTTTCTTTCTTCTTTTCTTTCTTTCTTTCTTCTTTCGGTCTTTCTTTCTTTCTTTTTCTTTCTTTCTTTCTTTTCTTTCTTTCTTTCTTTTCTTCCTTTCTTTTCTTTCTTTCTTTCTCGTTCTTTCTTTCTTTCATTTCTTTTCTTTCTTTCTTTCTTTCTTTCTTTCTTTTCTTTCTCCCTTTCTTTCTTCCTCTCTTTCTTTCTTGCTTCTGTCTTTTCTTCTTTCTTCTTCTTTCTTTCTTTCTTTCTTTCTTTCTTTCTTTCTTTCTTTCTTTCTTTTCTTTCTTCTTTCTTCTCTCTTCTTTCTTTCTTTCTTTCTTTCTTGCTTTTCTTTCTTCTTTCTTTCTTTCTTTCTTTCTTTCTTTTCTTTCTTTCTTTCTTTCTTTCTTTCTTTTCTTTCTGTCTTTCTTTCTTTTCTTCTTTCTCTTCTTTCTTTCTTTCTTTCTTTCTTTCTTTCTTTCTTTTCTTTCTTCTTGCTTTCTTTCTTTCTTTCTTTCTTTCCTTTCTTCTTTCTTTCTGTTCTTTCTTTCTTTCTTTCTTTCTTTCTCTTTCTTTCTTCTTTTCTTTCTTCTTCTTTCTTTCTTTCTTTCTTTCTTTTTCTTTCTTTCTTTTCTGTCTCTTTCTTTTCTTTCTTTCTTTCTTTCTTTTTCTTCTTTTCTTTTCTTTCTTTCTTCTTTGCTTTCTTTCTTTCTTTCTTTTCTTTCTTTCTTTCTCTTTCTTCTTTTCTTCTCTTTCTTTCTTTCTTTCTTTCTTTCTTTCTTTCTTTCTTTCTTTCTTTTTTCGTTTCTTTCTTCTTCTTTATCTTCTTTCTTTTTCTTTCTTTCTTTCTTTCTTTCTTGCTTTCTTTCTTTCTTTCTTTCTTGCTTTTCTTCTTTCTTTCTTTCTTTCTTTCTTTCTTTCTTTCTTTCTTTCTTTCTTTTTCTTTCTTTCTTTCTTTCTTCTCTTTCTTTCTTTCTTCTTTCTTTCTTTCTTGCTTTCTTTCTTTCGTTTCTTTCTTTCTTCTTTCTTTCTTTCTTGCTTTCTTTCTTTCTTTCTTTCTTTCTTTCTTTCTTTCTTTCTTTCTTTCTTTCTTTCTTTCTTTCTTCTTTCTTTCTTTCTTTCTTTTCTTCTTCTTTCTGCTTTCTTTCTTTCTTTCTTTCTTCTTTCTTTCTTTCTTTCTTTCTTTCTTTCTTTCTTTCTTTCTTGTCCTTTCTTTCTTTCTTTCTTTCTTCTTTCTTTCTTTCTTTCATTTCTTTCTTTCTTTCTTTCTTTCTTTCTTTCTTTCTTGCTTTCTTTCTTTCTTTTCCTTTCTTTCTTTCTTTCTTTCTTTCTTCTTTCTTTCTTTTCTTTCTTCTTCTTTTCTTTCTTTCTTTCTTTCTTTCTTTCTTTCTTCTTTCTTTCTTTCTTTCTTTCTTTCTTTTCTTTCTTCTTTCTTTCTTTCTTTCTTCTCTTCTTCTTTCGTTTCTTCTTTCTTTCTTTCTTCTTTCTTTCTTTCTCTTTCTTTCTTTCTTGCTTCTTTCTTTCTTTCGTTTCTTTCTTTCTTTCTTTCTTTCTTTCTTTCTTCTTCTTCTTTCTGTTTCTTTCCTTTCTTCTCTTCTTCTTTCTTTCTTCGTTCTTTCTTCTTCTTTCTTTCTTCTTTCTTTCTTCTTCTTTCTTTCTTTCAAGACATGAAAAAACGTTTCTAATTTCCTGGTGGACAATACCGTTTTATGCTATGTAAAATTCATTATCTATCACG